TGAACTTCACAAATAACGGTGTTGACTTGTCTTTGGGAACAAGTTATTATGGATGTGGATATTTTTTAGATGGTTTTATTGTGTTGGACGTGGATTATAATTTCAATAATGTATGTTTTTCTTTCATTACATCTTCTAATACTGATGGAAATGATGTGAATGTATGGCATGCTAGATTTGGACATATTGGTCAACAACGAATAAATATACTAGTAAGAGAAGGCTTGCTAGGAAATTTAAAAGAGTAGATTTGTCTACTTGTGAGCATTGCCTAGCTGAAAAAACAACAGGAAAACCATTTGGAAAAGCGATAAGAGCCAAATTTCCAATGCAATTGACTTATTTCGACATTTGTGGTCCAATAAATGTGAGGGCAACTCATAGGGCTATTTATTTTATCACATTTATAGATGATTACACACGATTCGGTTAAGTTTTTTTTTTTTTTTTTATTTCTCATAAATCTGAAGCTTTAAATTGCTTTAAGAAATAAAAAAATTTAGTTGAAAATCAATTATATAAGAAAATAAAAGTTCTAAGAACCAATCAAGGTCATGAGTATCTATCTGATTAGTTCAAAAATTTATGTGATGAGATGGGAATAGAATGCCAATTAACTATTCCAAGAACTCCGCAATAGAATGGTGTTGCAGAAAGAATAAACAGAACCTTACTTGAAATGGTGAGATCAATGATGGCACATGCAAATTTATTCATCACTTTTTGGGGTGATGTCTTATTAATGCCACATACATACTTAACCGAGCATCCTCCAAATCAGTTACAACTACACCATATGAGTTATGGACAAATCAAAAACCCGATTTGAATTTTCTGAAGCCGTGGGGATGTGTTGCCTATGTTCATGAGTCTTCCCATAAATATGGAAAATTAGGTCTAAGAGAAAAGAAATGTATCTTCATTAGATACTCGAAGCAATCAAAATGATATGTGTTCATAGGGGAACAAGAAAGTGGCACCAAACTGAATTTGAAGCACAAGATGTCACATTTTTGGAAAACATTTTCAAAAGAAGGTGAGATGGGTCAAGACTTATCTTTATATGAAACTCAAGACCACATCAATTTCGCTGCTGAAAATCAATTAGATACATTACTTTCAAGTGGGAGCAACATGAGAGTTGATGAATCTGTTTCAAATACTCAATCGTTACCCATAGTAGATCTAACTATGATGGTTGGCCCGAGTGGGAGTAACTTAGAAGAATCTCAAATACGCCAAACAAACAGGAAAAGTGTTCCACGTCATCATTTTTAAATTAAAGGGGGAGTTTTTCTGGTTACTTTGTAAGATGAAGAAGAGCCAAAGAATAAATGAGGCTCTCAAATGCCCTTTAAAGGAAAAATGGATGAAAGCAATGGAAGAAGAAATAGAGTCTATGAAATCAAACCAAGTGTGGGAATTGGTTGATTTAACGAAAGGAAGCAAAGCCATTAGGAACAGGTGGGTTCTCAAAATGAAGCGTAAAGCTGGTGGCAGTATTGAAAGATACAAAGCTCGCTTAGTTGCGAAGGGGTATACACAACAAGAAGGAATAAATTATGAAGAAACCGTCTCACCTGTTGTGAGGTTTACCACAATCTGACTTATTCTAGCTATAGTCGCAAACGTGGATCTTAAATTGCATCAAATGGATTCCTAGCTCCCCTCCTCACGCACCTCTGCGTGCAGTCCTTCCATCTCCCTAGCAAAGTCATTGATATCCAAGCCGTTTTCCTTTTATCTTATTCCGGGCGGAGCCAACTCTTTCATTCCTCTGGCATCGTCTTCATCACACCGGACAATGCTATAATCCCTCACTCCCTGGCATTGACGAAAGGGTGCTCCAACAACGAAACGGAGTACGAGGCCCTGATTGCTTTTAATTGTCTTGAATTTTTTTCTCCTAAAAATCTCTATTTGTAATTCTCTAGCTCTCGAGGCTTCGATAACCAGGCTTCAAGTCTTTGGGGATTTGGAGTTAGTAATCAAACAAGCCCAATAGAGAATTAAAAGAAAAGATCTATATGGAACAACCAATAGGTTTCATTAGAGAAGGTCAAGAACAAAAAGTGTGTAGGCTTTTAAAGTCAATTTATGACCTCAAGTAGTCCTCAAGATAGTGGTACATTTGATTTCATAATACGATAATGTTGTATGATTTCAAAATGATTGATGAAGATCACTGTGTGTTTACAAAGATATCTAATGAAAAATTTGTTATATTATCATTATATATTGATGATATACTTATAGATAGAATGATAGGGGGTTTCTGAATGAAATCAAAGGTTGTTTATCATCTTACTTTGAGATGAAAGATATGAGTGAAATTGCATATATCCTTGGAATTAAGATTTCAAGAGATCGCTCAAGGAAATTAGTGTCTTTTTTGCAAGAGTCATACATTAAGAAAATTCATAAACGATTTCATATGCAAGATTGCAACCCATGGACAACCCTATCTCGAAATGTGAGACTTTGAGTTGTAGATTGTGTCCTAAGACTCCACAAGAAAAGAAACAAATGTGAAAAGTTCCTTATACAAGTGTTGTTGGAAGTCTCATGTACGTTATGATGTGCACAAGGCAACATCCATTATGTTGTTGGGTTGTAAGCAGATATCAGTCCGACCTAGGACAAGCATATTGGAAAGCAGTGAAGAGAATCTTAAAAATCGAAAAGGAACAGTTGATTACTCATTGTGTTATCAAGGAAATGATTTACATTTGAGAGGCTACACGATGCTAATTAGGGAAGGGATTTAGATGAAAAAAAATCTGCCTCTGGATTTGTTTTCTTACTAAATAACGGGGCTATATCTGGGATTAGTAAGAAACAATCATGTATAGCCTTATCTACAATGGAGGCTAAGTTTGTAGCATTTTTAGCTGTAGTGCAAGAAGTCATTTGGTTGAGACGGTTCATAAATCATGTAGGAATAATTGATGTTGATATTAAACCAGTGAGAGTAAACTGTGACGGTCAAACAATAATAGCATACACTAAGGATCGCAAATATCATGGTAAAATAAAAGACATAGATATCAAATACAACTTTGTACAAGATTTGGTGGCACAACAAAAGGTAAACATGAAGTACATATCTACACATGACATGGTTGCGGATTCATTTACAAAGCCCATACCAAGAGATACATTTAAAAAGCATGTTTAATCACTAGGCTTACGTAGATGTTGAATGTACTTATAAATTGAGATTTCCCAACAATGTTCACGTTTATCATAATTAATATTAATTAACAATATTATCAATGCTCAATTTCATTCATTATTGAACATACATGAATGAGTAAATACATTTTTCTTTTGAAAAGCATGTCGAACAGTTATAGGATTGGCCTTCTCACACAAGCAATCGCCTCTATTACTTTGTGGGAATGGAGATGAGACAATTTTAAGCTTATTATCTAGGTGATAATAGAGAGTCAAGCTTAAAATATTAATGTTGCCTAAAACAAGATCAAAATGATGTCATAATGAAGTATGACCATAAGTGATAGATTATCAAAATTCATTACTTTATCTGTTTTATTGTCATATTAGAGTTTTGATCAATTGAAAAGTATGAAGGAGAACTCAAGTTAGACACTAGGTATGTTTGACCAAAATCTATACAACATTTATAAGAAGTAAAAGACATGCACTCCATGGGAAATGAGGAAATGCTGTAACATGTGATTCATACCACATGTGCAAAATCTTGATCCCGAGGGTATTGAAAGTAAAGATCTTAATTTTAACATTGTGAGAGACCTTGAGATTATAAGAATCAAATCTCAAAGGGTACCCTTGTTACTCTAGTTTGTTTTTTAAAACCTTGATTTAATGATTGCTATCTTAGAAAGTTACCAAAAGATTGAGAATGATTCAATCTACTAGGACATTTCTAGAAAAGCAAAGTAAATGAAAGTTGCGAGAATCGAGAAAGAAAGAAGCTCACAATTTTGTACTATCACATTATTTTGTGTGTATTCATTGGTCAACCAATTATGTTTTCATTTTATATAAAAACAAAGCATGATTATGAATACAATAAAGTTTAACTATATAAATGAGATTGTTAGAGATAAAATGTGATAAGTGATCTAGGATGCCACGTACAATATACACCCAAGTTACGTTATTCGAAAAGTTTTATATTCCTAACAGATATATAGTTAAAGTGCTCTAATGTATGCATGGTCACATTACATACTTTCCTAGTATGAATCTTGTAGAAGCATAGGAAGAAATGATCTCATCATGTATGAGTGGCAAATGTTGGATACAGTTGGGATACTTATGATGGGACCTACCTGTACATCGATTATCCAAATAAACGGTAACTATTTGGCAATTACCATACACATACATATAACAATTACTTTGGTAACTGCAAGTCAAATTCCATATATAAGGGAAGAAGGAACCAATTTTCATAAAAGATATATTTTACTTTTAAAACAAAACAAAACAAAAAAAAAAAAAAAAAAATTCCTCTCTTTCTTTCTAAAAAAATAAAATAAAAAAATTGTGTGGTTTGAAGAACAACTTAGGGTATCTACAAGATGTTATGTCTGAATATATATATGCAACTCGTTATTTATTATAATGTGATTGCAACTGAGACTTTGCATGTATAATCTTGGGAATTTACTTTAATTAATCTGTTGTGTTAATTTCAACATGAATTTACTCTCTTTTAATATAAATTTCTATTTAAATTACAAATAAATTAAGTAATGTTGAAGATATTTTATTAAAATTAGTGGAAGTGACTTTATGTACATCAAAAATAATTTTATATGAGATAATCATGTAATAGAACTTATATCAAAAAAAAAAAAAAAAAAAAAAAACATTTTTAATCAAATTCAACCAAATAGTTTTATAGCATTAAGTTGGGCCAGTCCGAGAAAAATGGGCCAACTCGATCCGAATCATTTACCCACATCGAAAACCCGAATACCGAGACCGAATGATTGATTATCATCATCAAATTTCATCGTCATTGCGGACAAGCAAAAGAAAAACTTCGCAAAAACTCCATCAAAACCCACCCCAAAACAATATAGTCCTAAATAAAGAAAAAAAAAACCGGTGACTACGATTGACTGGAATAATTCAATAGAAACATTTAAAACCGAAACAAAAAAAAAAAAAAAAACCATCTTCTGGTACCTTCTTTTCTGAAAACTGTTCAAACTTTTCGTGGGAACAGGGTTTCTCATTATTCGTTCTGATAACTGATTTTTTTACCATAGATTTCAGCTTCGAGAATCACAAATTAATGGGAATGAAGGTGTTAATGTACTGATGTCACCGTTCTGGATTGTGATTCGTCAGCTAGCGGAAATCGAGGCAATGGTAATTACATGAAATATATATTTTTACTTTGATTATTGAGTTTTGATAACTATTATAGGTTTTATTTTGTCTGTGATGCGTTTTGAGCTTACGGATTGTGGCTGAATTGAGTTTTTATGTTAAGTTAGATTGGGTGTTGTGTTGGGTTGCTGGAAATTGTAAACCCTAGATAACTAACTGTAATGAGATCATTTCAGTGTATCACTTTGTTTATTTATTTTTCATTTTAAAGATCTTCAGAAATGGTGATGATTATTTTTTTGGTTTGAGTTTCTTTTCTTTTGACCTTTTTTTTTTTTTTTTTTAGGTGAGAAACCAAATGGGTCCACCCTGGAAAATGCAAATGCAAGCTTTTTTTTAGTCTATTTTGATGAACTTGTTCTTTCATTTGATTGATTTGGACAAATTTATGTCAAATATATGGAGGACTTAGTACAGAAGTTCATTTTTAAATTCTATGAAAGAATCAGTAGTTTTATGGTATGGCAAGGTGGTTATGGCAGATCTGTTTGTGTGCAGGCATTGTCAAAGAAAGTGATTACGCGGGAGGAGTGGGAGAAGAAGCTCAATGATGTAAAGATTAGGAAAGAAGATATGAATAAGTTAGTGATGAATTTTCTTGTCACAGAAGGTTATGTTGATGCTGCTGAGAAATTTCGGATGGAATCTGGAACTGAACGTATCCTTACTCTTTTCTTTTTTTTATTTCCCATAACGGAATGTTATTATTGTTGGTGTCTTATGTTGTTTCCTTTGTAGTTCAAATGATTGGTTTTGTGAACAGATTGTTTTTCCTTATTGAGAAATAGCAGACATAGATCTTGCAACTATAACAGATCGCATGGCCGTTAAAAAGGCTGTACAGTGTGGTAATGTCGAGGATGCTATTGAGAAAGTTAATGATTTAAATCCTGAGGTATGATGCTTAATCATGTTCAAACAATCTTCATGAGTTGTATTTTGTGCAACTGAATGACTAGGACAGTTCCCACAGCATATTTTTGGTGAATTTCGTAAATTGTTGTTTTTATTTGTTTGGCTAAACATTAGTCTTCTAGAACCTTCTTTCAAAGAATTGCGTGTATAAAGCACATATATGTCTGGGATGCTGTTAGATTTTTACTTATTTGTTGATAGGTTCAACCAGAACAATTCTTCAGGGTTTGAGATTTGAATAACCCATGTGGTATCACCCACCTAAATGACAATATCCAGACTACACGTATGGCAATTGTTAGCTTTTTGTTTTGCCATAATAGAACTTTTGGTGGGTTAATATTATTATCCAATCAATTTATATAATTGGGTAGTATTGTTACTTTACATATTGGCTTCCAATTATTTACATCATATGAACTAATATATGGATGAAAGCAAAGAGTGAAGTGTAAGATGAACCTTGTTTTATTATGCAGCTGCTTTTTACTTCTATAATGCTGCATTTGGCATGCAGGACAGAAGAGGATATAGTGACAGGATATTATCAGATATAATAGTTCATGATATCTATATCCAAATCTTTTTTTCTTTTGTTTGGTGAACAACATTATTGTAATCTGAGGCAAATATCTAAATAATTATAGAAGGAAAAGAGAAAAAAATAAAAATAGAAGGAAACACAGAAAGAAAGGGAAAAAGAGGGTAACATAGGGAAAGAAGCAAATGAATTTAATATAAAAAATTGCTGGGCAGTGGTTATTGACTGTGGTCAGTGGTCATGGAAATCCCATTTCCTGTTATCTCATCAGATGGGATTAGAAGTACCTAAATTCCCGATGAGATTTTGAAATCCCATTTCTAGGGCATATAGATTCCTGGTGGATTTCTATATCCACCCTTTGGCTGCTGCAAATGTGGGATTGGATTATTCATTCCTGCTGTATGTCCGACACATGAAGCATGCCCTTCTCTTTTGGGTAGACCTTGCTACACCCTTTGGTAGTTTGTTATTAGTGGTTACTGGGATTTGAAATTTTTGTATATTTATTATATGCAATAGATTCATCAATATGGTATAACTAGGTTTCAACTATACCACTTCTGATCTTATTATAGCTTTTTGTTGAAATACTATTAATCTGTAGCATCTCCAAAGTTATCCCTAGTTTGCTCCTTGAAATGTTTTACAAAATTTAAATTGTGTTTATTTTGTTAGAGAAATTGATTCATGACTGAAACCCTTCTCAGCATTGTATCTTAAAGCAGTGGTACATGTTAGTAGTAGAACAAAGTTATAGTGGCTAATTTTTTGCAGCCCAAATTGGCATTTGGGATTAAGTGCTACTCTATGTACGGTAATTTATGTTTTGATTGGTTGATGCCAGCAATCACACCTATAGGAATGTAATTAAGAAAAGTCTTGGAGTGTGTTTGGTTCAGGGAATGTTGCATTATTGGAAATATTATATTAATGGAAAGATAGATTATCTTGAAGATTACTGGGAATGTTTAGGGAAATGTGTTTGGTTGGTTAGAATAAATTGGTGGGTATGTTATATTAATATGTTTGGTTGAGAGGAATAAATTGATGGGTATGTTATATAAATTACTAAATTTCCCTCCTTTTTAAATATTAATATTATATTATTTTTTGAATAATTTCTTTTAACCCACCTAGATTTCAGATTTAGCTAAAACACCTCAGCAACAAAAAAAATTTAAAACTTAATGAAAACACCCCTACCCACCTCAAGCCATTGCCGCAGGCTTGCCACCACCATGGATGGCAACGACAATGGAGATTTGGCCGTGAAAGGCCAGATCTGGCTGTTTCTGGCCATGGATCACAGATCCATGGCTGAAAATGGCATTAGCGGTGCATGGCCAGTCAGATATGGTTGGTCGTACGCCATTCTGCCGCTACCGCCAACGATGGTGGCTAGCAGTGGTAGCCAGATCCAGCCACCACCCTTGGGTAATTTTTTAAAATTCCAGAAGTATTTAGGTCCTAAAAACTTTGTATATAAGGATAAAATAGTCAATTAGTATTTTTGTAAATTGTTTTTAAAACAAGGGTATTATTGTCTTAAAATTTTATTAATAAGAGGTAAAATTGTAATAAAAATAAGATTACCAAGTAATCTTAAAATACTTAAAAAAAATGGAGGTAATTAGACTACCCCTTATATTATCAACAGTAACTACTATTGGTTTTGGAAAATTATCGGCATATTTTATTACTTGACAATCAAACGGGATAATCAAGTAATATAAGATGACATTACCTCAATAATCTCCTATTACCCCCAACCAAACACACTCTTGGCATATGTTCTGTCATTTATGAAATTAGGGTGCACTTCTCGAACAAGGGAGGGAAACTGTATAGGTGGACATTATTTAAGGCTGAAACTTTGCATTAGTGGTCAATCCATATATGAACTATATTCATGTGTATGATTGTCTTTTGTCTTGGTTATCATTTTGTCAGAATATTGTTTTTTATATTCTTTTTCATTTGTTTCAAAACTCTCTATGCAGATATTGGATACAAATCCACAACTGTTTTTCCATCTTCAACAGCAGAGGTTAATAGAATTAATACGGAATGGAAAGGTGGAAGAGGCGCTCGAATTTGCTCAGGAGGAGCTCGCACCAAGGGGAGAAGAAAATGTAATCTTTTGTTCACTATAACTTTGTTTTGCCTACTAGTTGTCATTGAAAGTATTTTAGTTTTTATTTTTCTCTCTTCATGAATGATTTTTCTTGTTTGCCATAATCTTACACTTCTCGGTTGTATCTTTTTCTATTATTGGTGCTGATATTTGGTTCTAAGAATGTAAAGAGTTTTCTGCAGCAAAGCTTTTTAGAAGAGTTGGAGAGGACTGTTGCATTACTGGCTTTTGAAGATGTCTCCAACTGCCCTGTTGGAGACCTTCTGGATATATCACAGCGCCTGAAGACAGCTAGCGAGGTTAATGCAGCCATCCTCACAAGCCAGAGTCATGAAAAAGGTTAGTGAGTTTGCTGCCGTCATTATCTAGGACATTTTTTTATTGTCTATATGAAATTTGTGTTCTAAGTTCATGTGATAAAATGAATATCCCCAGCAAATTATTTTCTTAAGAAATTTTCTACAGCTTTAGATGGGAGGATGGTATGACTTGTCAATCTGACCCTTTTTGTTTTTTTAACTGTGCATTCATTTGGACATGTATATTACTTGTTAGTGTGCTAGTAGTCTTCACTCATTTAGTGATGCTAGAAAAGCGTTACAAAAGATTTTCTTTGAAAATTCTGGTTGCAGCTTGCAGCCATCGAGTTATGGTCAGATGTATTTTAGTCTGAAACTTCTATCATCTGGTATCTTAGTGGATTATTTTATGGAGAAGTACTACATTGGATATGAACTTTGGACCATATAAAATAGGTTGTATCTACCACATAAAATAAGATATTTGCGCGAGGATATTTATGTGGGAAGAGGGTAAAGTTTCCAAGAACATGCTAACACAGATTAACCATTTCCGAGAGATTCCACTGATTAGTTTCTGACATTAGATATGATAATATTTATGTTAAACTGAAAGGATAAAATCAAAAAATGTGAGAATCTAAAAGGATATTGAATCAATGTTTTGATCTACCAGTATTGGACGTTGTTCAACTGGGTTTTGCGTTCAGTGGTCTCTTTTGCCTGCATGATTTGTGTAATTTTTATGAGGTTGCTGATTTATCTTGATAGTTCTTTTTTCTCTTCAAGAGTTAAATTGGCTTTGTATCTTTTAACCATACAGATCCTAAGCTTCCAAGCTTGTTAAAGATGCTAGTATGGGCTCAAAATCAACTTGATGAGAAAGCTGCTTATCCTCGCATAAACAATTTATCTACGGCAACGCTAGAAGATCCTGCTGTTTAACAATGATATAAAGTTCGTGTGGAGGATTGCAGTTGTCTAGATTGAACAGATAGAGCTAAATGGAATGATTGATCATGCTTGTACCAATATTGCAAAGTGAATGTAGCTAGAAATTTGTTGGATGATGTTTATTATCTTCTTAGATGATATTCAGTGGCTGAAGCTCTTGTACAATTGATTGTCAAACACCTTTTTCCGTAAAGATTGTGGGATTTGGTCGTCAATTTGAAGCAAAATTAGCTCAACTTGGAGCTATTGGTACTGTTTATGCCATACCTATGTCCTTATTATTGCTTCTAGCTGCATGACAGCTGTTTGTGTTGAGTATTATTGCCTCTTCTTTCTGTTTCTTTACCTGTTGCGATTTGTCTTTGAAATGCATAACAGGAATGGTTTGACTCTTACCGGTGAAGGCAAGATTTTCTCGTTTTCCCATTAAAGTTAAAAATGCTATGGCGATGGCAACTCGAGTAATTTATGGTGCAAATAATCTCATAACTGATAAATGGTTATAATGTGGCTGTATTTTTTTAAATTGAACACACTTAACCAAAGTAGATTGATGAAATTGGCACACTAGAAATGAAAGAGATAGAAGCAAAGATGACCTTGAATCAAAGTAATTAAGTCCATCAGCTAGAACAATTTCAATAAACTTCACTCAATGGAAGTGAAAATGATACCAAGAAGAAATGCATAAATCGGTGCAACTGACCAATACAGTCTACAAAGCAGAACTTACTGTACTTTCACCTACATCAAAATACATCACTGAGATTCCACCCAAAGAACACAAACCCACATGATTTTCTTGCTTTCTGAATAATCTTGAAACTTTTGTTGTTTGGCAACATTTGCTCCTAAACCCCAATGGCAACTACCATCATCAAAATTCAGTGCATAACTGGAGGGGTCATACTGGAACTTGAACTGCTGTTTGGTTCCATTCTTCGCAGCCTTCTTCACTGCTGCTCTAACTCTCCAAAACAGACTCCTGCATTGCCTTTTACCATAACTATTCACCCACTCCAAGCTTCCCACCAAGCCCAATTTTATCCCCATGTAGCTTCACTTGAAGCAGAACCCAGAAACCAAACTTTGGAAAGGAAAAAGAAGTTTTACAGACAAAATAAAGAACCCCAGAAGTAGTTTGTTAGATATAGGGCATAAATAGAAACAGAAGAAGTCGCAAAATGTTATGGGGAGCAAAAGGTGGGAATAAAAACAAGAAATAAAGCTCTCACCTTTTAGAATGGAGAGAATAAGTATGATCAGAAAACAAAGGCAGATAGATAGTGCAAATGCAAATGTTTTTGGTCTTTCAAAGAAGCTGTGGCAGCTTCATTTGGCAGTGGTGTTACTTTTCTTTGGAATCACATTGGGATGCTAAAATTCCATCATCTTTTCAAGAGACCAGACAAAAAGAAGTAAAAAAAAAAAAAATACATGGATGCTGTGGGCAGAGAGCCCCTCTCATGGTCATATCGCAATCATACATTGTAATTTTGTTTAGGATAAGTATTTATTCCTCCCCATTTCATCATAAATTCCTCCTCCCATCTTGTGTTTCTCTCTAGAATAGCTATATCTGCATTAATTGTAATTTACCACACACTATAAATTTTCTTTAAATCTAAGCATTAATGAATGTTTCATAATTTTTTTCTCAAAAATGTTTGGTAATAAACTTATTAAGTGCTACATAAAATGCAAAAGCAATGAGTGAAAAACAAGGCAATGAAACTCCACAGTGATCAATCAAATCAAAGTTTCCTTTTTGCTACTAACTGAATTGTCTGCAGCAGAAGGTAATGTAGAGACTTTTGTGGGTACTTTGATTGCATAGTGGACTCTTACATGGCTGGCTGCTTCTCTTTTTGTCATCATCTTCAAAGCCATTATGCTTTAAAATATTCTCATCTAATTGACTAATACTCTCTTGTCTCATTATGCAGCTCACTTTTGCAAAAAAATGGTTAATGCTCAATATCTACTAATTAGCACCATAAATTCTGGTTATTAATTGTAGAAGATGCATGTCAGGTGAGCTGTCATTCCAAGCCAACAGAGCAATTGTTGTCTCTACCTTTGGCATCCCCCTCCACTGCACTACTCAGAGCCCGACCCCAGAAGGGATTTTTATCTTTTTGTTAGCCTTTAATTGAGTTCCTTTTATCATGCAGGTTTCAAAATCTAATGGTCCTGGCAGGCTGTAGCTTGGATAATGAAGAACTCCATCATTGCAGCAACTTGTTTTGGTTAGTGATGTATTTTTAGACTCGAACCATATTGGAACCAATATCCAAAACAATGTCAAACCCCAAATTATACACATAAAAGCAAAAACTTATCCACTTTTTAGCTTAATCATTCACATCTCTTTCATAGTAGTATTTCTGCAAAAATGCACATGTTCATTGAAATTTATCAATTATCATAAGCTTGATGTCACATAATGAAATGAAATATGAACATTTTCTCTTGGTTGTAAGTTGGGTAAATGGAAATGGTACTAAACCCTTGACCTGTGGAAGTCAGAAATTGGTATATTTGACATAATTTTTCTAGGAAAATGGGCTTGCAAAATTTTTCCTTTTAGTGTTAGAATCAGAGTTGTCGAGCACTTGGGCTTACCTTTTGTGGCCTTTCTCAAAGCCCAACATAACCATTGGGAGTTCCATAACACAAAACGACCACATGTTGCAATAAGAGTGGGCAGTCGATTCATTGGTTTTCTTGTCACATGGCATGTCTCAAATTTGTGTACAAAATCAAAGGAAGATAAAGCTAATAGATCCCATTAGCATACTTGAGTATTAAAAATGTAGTTTATGGGGGTAATCTTTTCTTGATAAACTAACCTTAATGTCCGGAGCCGAAATGTGATGATCAAGGTGGTAGAATATCATGAATCATGTGCAAGTATCTTATATGGATTTGGTCCTCAAGTCTTTTATGGGTTCCTTTTCAGACTAGTTCTATTGAATGTGCATGCTTGCATACCCTTTCTTTCTCTCTTTTTCAGAATAATTTATTTGATATAATGAGTAATAAGCTTTTAGCGTTGGAGGTTTGGTTGAAATGGATACCCGTATCCCCACAATTGTTTAATAATGTTCTATTATATTATACTGTATATTATGATATTAAAAAATTACAAATGATAAGATTTAGTAGACCTCTTGAAACATTGCAAGCAACAAACTGTTTGCATCGTCACAATCCGAATATTTTATTGGACCATTCAATCGGTAACAACATTCAAAGTTTTCTTTTAATACACAAAAGTATATGTTCTTCCAAAAAAAAAAAAAAAAATAAGAGGCGGTTAGCAATATTCACTATTGAATTACATAGATAGGTCTACTCTTATAAACTTTCTCTCTCAACTCTGACGATGACACAATTCACAATTTGTTAGCTCATAATGGGTCACATCTATCCGATTGCGAGTTGCCATGTCAGAGTTGTGAAAGAAAGTTTGTAAGATTGGATTGTAAGTCATCTTTATTATATACTAAAAGGTTTTGTCACAAAGATAACTATTGACGAGTCTGTGGCTAATGATTCAATAGAATATAAAAATGCGACTTTTCCAATGATAAGATATATGCATGAACGGTCATTAAAGCAAGAAAACATTGTTTATTATATGGTCAAGATCCTTCTATATACTATTATAAATTAAACATAAAAACAAACAATGACAAATTTTTTACTCTAGTTAAGATGTCTCCAACTTCTCTCATCCGATTCCCTTCAAATTGGTCTGGAAATAATCGCAAATCTTCATTATAGCAGGAATAAATTGGACAAGGCAATAGACAAATTGAAACATACCTTAATTAATTAGTCTATTATATCAACAACATGAACAAGAAAACTACTCTAGTTTTGATCGACAACATGCCCAATTCCTTGTCGATGCTCACAATTCTCCTTTTGTTGTATTATCCGCTACCCTTCCTTAAACCATCCCTAGTGAACTACATTAAATTTCCCATTTGACATCAATTCAAACCATACAATAACAACTACCATCCTCCCTACGACTTCAATGGGTTCTCTCCCCTCCCCATCACGCCCGACAACACCACCGCCTTCACCAGAACAAAACTATTCCGGCCATCAAGTCTATGCCTCATTTTGCCTAAAGGAGTCATGGCCAAGATCAAACATTTCTAATTGGATAGAGTGCTATACTCCGTCTAACAACACATGGACTCACATTAGCTACATACCTTACATTACTGAGAATCATATTTTGAAGGGCTTTTCGATGGTTTCACTAGGTGACTCGATTTATGTAATTGGTGGTCGTTTGTGCCACAAGGAGAGAGCTTCGGGTAAATGCAATGAATTTGTAGATGTTGATGATGAGGTTTTATCATTAGTACTTCGTTACAATGTTCAATCAAATGAATGGTCTAAATGTGCAACATTAGTTGTACCACGTTATGATTTTGCTTGTGTTGTATGTGACAACAAAATTTATGTAGCAGGAGGGAAGTCCAATTTGTTTAGTGCTCGGGGAATTTCATCTGCAGAAGTTTATGATCCTACACTTGATGAATGGACTTCTTTGCCTAACATGAAAACATTGAGGTACAAATGTGTTGGGGTGACATGGCAGGGTAAAATCTACGTGGTCGGGGGATTTGCCGAGAGAGCTGACTCGGATGGTCTGGTTTGGTTTACAGAACGTAGCTCAGCTGAGGTGTTTGACACGCAAGCAGGAAAATGGGACTTTGTGGCGGGGATGTGGCAATTGGATGTACCACCTAATCAAATTGTTGAGGTGGATAATAGGCTATTTAGCTCCGGGGATTGCTTGAAAGTATGGAAAGGTCACATTGAGGCTTATGATGGAAATCTTAATATGTGGAATGAAGTTGATGGATCTTGCCTTCAAACACTCAATTCACCAATTTTCACAACCCATAGGGAAGATTGGGGACCAATCCAACGGCACTACTTAACCATAGCACCAATTGGGACTCATTTATACTTCCTTGCAGGCTATCGGATCGCTGGGGAGTATTCACAAACAGTTTCAATGGTGCATATTTTTGACACTACAGCCACAAGCGATGCATGGAGAAGCTTTGAGCCTATGGTGGAAGATGGAGAGAAAGAACTTTGCAGCCATTGTTGTGTTGTTCAACTCTTATAAACCACCAAAATATAGTGTTGTCTTAAGTCTTAACATGTGTTCTTGATTTTTACAAGTATCAATCACAGATGTTTTGGTTGGATGCTCGAATAGATTGCATAATCTAACAATCCCTGGTAATTTTGGAGGCCAAATAAAATCTTGTAAAAAAAACTTTGAACTTCCATTATATATTAAACATGGCAATCTTGCTGTGTGTTTTAATGTTTACCACAAAATGCCCATTTGGGTTGAAACTGAAAGTTGTGACTTTACTTAAAAATAAAGATAGAATAAAAAAGTTGTGACCTAAAGAGAAGGATATGGGGTTGCCATTGCCACACGAAATCAAAATGAAAAAAAGAAGCAAAGTAGTATTAATAATGTTTGCCCAAATGTGGAAAGAAGGCAGTGAGCATCCTTAATTATGTCCTGCTTCCCTACTTTCAATCAATGTGATTAATTTCTATATTATGTTTAATTGTTTATCCATCAACTGCAGCTACTCCATCTCTTTATCACCTTCTAAATTTGCTCATAGTTAATCAACAAACACAAGTCTCCATATTTTATCTCTTCCAATATTCATTATTTTCTTTCAATGCAGGGAGCAAACCATGTTTTTATAAACTCTAAAAATGCTCCAAAACCTAACATAAACACCTTATTTGATTCAAGTTTTAGCCTTGCTTATATAATTGATTTTCCATTTTAACGATGCAATTCGTAACAAATCAAACTCTCAAAAAGATCAAATGATTGTTGTGTTACCGTGAGCTTTAATTTATTTGTGAAGTTGAATTCTGATTGATATAAATTTCTTTTAATTTATTGCTAATTACAAATATAAAAGTATAGAAGAAGAAGAAGAAGATGGAGGCTAAAAAATGAAATGGTGGGGCTAAAAATCATTCCCCGTCGACAAATGATGTTGCTTCCTTATTGGGCCCTATAAAAATGACAGATGAGCCCAACATGGTCCACTGGAATATAATAAGCATAGGCCGAAAAGAGGCCAAAAGAGAGCCCAATTTCATGTCGTCCAAGTTCCAACCCATCAAGTGGTCAACCGTAAGAACAACCTTTCACCGCCTCCGCCATCAAAAGAAGAGAAAGTTTGACACCAAAAACACAAGAACCCTAGAAAACAGATCCCTTCACGTGACCCTGAGCCTGAGGCACCACGGGCCCCCTGACATTCATGTCATGACACCTTTTCTCTTCAACTTCAAATCCTAGTCAATTTCTCCACCTCCACAAGCAAGCCCAATCGCACGTGTGACACTATACACACGCACGCTTAATCTACCCGACTTAAACACATTTTGACTTTGACTAATCAACAACTCCAAATCAAACGGCTCTGGTTTAACCGGAATTCAGAAAGCATCATGGCTGCTATGATTTTGGGAACAATCTCGAGATTTACATGTCTGAGTGTTGGTACGAAGCTGAAAAAGCCGACAAAGGAAGTTGATATGTTGGGTAAGAGAGAGTGAAGCTTTTGCTTTAGTGTTTTGTTTCTTTTTTTTTTTTTTTTGTTTTTGGGAAATACCGACCATCTCAGATCGAGCCACGTGGCTGGAGGGTAAGAAAGAGAAGTGGAAGTGACACGTGGAAACAGGGTATAGGTAGTGACCATGAGGGTTCGAGTGGTTGGGGAAACACGGGCACATATCCCGACATACTGCATGTGGGGTTTGATGAATATAATCTCACCGTCCATCTTTTGTAACGTAAAGGGTGTTGTCATTTGTCTATAAATAAATATATTTTTTAGTAACTAAAATTTTCAAATTTTAAATCAATTTCTTTTTTCATTTACGGATGATTGATCTAATTATATGTGAATTTTTTCAAATAATAAAATATTTTTCTTTTGATAAGAAATGCGTTAATTTTTTATAAAAACCCTCCCTTAAAAAAATTTAAAATAATATCATTAATAGTATGTAAAATGAATTTAATATAAAGTGCATATATACACCTATATTATTGCAACATATTTTTACTGGATGGTTTCAAATATTTTGTATCTACCTTTAATTAAGTAAAAGGGTTTATAAATAAAATCCCCCTTAAGTATAATCATATAAAAAAAATTTATAAATGTCATTACAATAAATAATAAAGAAGTAATTTTGTAAATATTTATTAACTCATTATATTATAACTACTAATTGGGGGATTTTTGTTATTTTTGAAATCTTAAAAAGATTTTTATTATTGGAGGATATCAAAACCTATAACTAAAATCAAAATTTAATTTCTTAAATGATCGTGTGGATGTAATAAATTTAAAAAAAGGTGAGCTCAGAGTTGTCTAGCTGGCTAATCTTTGCACAATTGCACTCAATTATACTAACAAGATTGAATAAGAAGCATCCGTAATTCAATTATGTGGACGCCAAGTAGGACCACTTACTGCTTAGCTGGACAACACGTAATCATGAATTAGATTTAAGATTTTATTTGTAAATCTATTATCAATAGTATATAGATATAATTAACAAAATTAGTTCATTTAAGTGATCAAATCAATTAGATTTTTCTTTAATTTTGTTTGATAAAATATTAAAGATAAAAACACAGACCAAATTAGGTACGCATCTTATTGGGCTGGTCCTTTAAGTGCAACAACTAACATAAAAGCAAAATTTTGTAGCTGGCATGGCAATTAATTTTTATTAAAAAAACCTTGCTTAATTATATGATTTAAGAATAAAATTCATCAAAAAAGAAAAATATTATTGTTTGGGCCTGATTGTTGAATGGTTGCATTACTGGATAGGGAGCTCACATCTTTAATGTAAAACGTTGTATATGTAAAGGGGTTCATAAAGTTATAAAAATGTTATCCATGATTGTGAAATTGTCCTACTAAAGTGGTATCAAGTTTTTTCATATTATTTGGATATAAAGCTTGAATAATTGAGCCACAATTTCATCAAATCATCTTCTTTAACAAATTAAATAAATAACATTGTCAAATATTATATAATAATCTACTAAATTCACATGTTTATTAAAGTAGAAACCTGAAGTAGACGAAATTTATCCCTCAAAAAAAGGAAATTATATTAAATAACCCATTTTGAGGGTCTCAATTGATAAATAGTTTGTTTCTATATGTCTCTTATAAAATAGTTCTATTCTAAAATTTTAGCACCCATTATCTGTGTTTTAAAACCTAGCCCGAGCTAGCTAGTTGAACTGGTTCAACTGGGAATTGGGACCTTCACCGAGTCGGTTACCAGTTTTGACTATTCATAGCAAACCCTAAAGATTAGGACAACAATCGGCAAACAATTGGTGGCTGGGATGTTAGAGCTTTTGAAGAGAAAGGGTCGGTGAGTCAAAAGGTGGCGATGAAGATGATTTTTCGGTGAGTGAAACAATTAAAAATCGCAAAAATTGATCGGTGCCAACATCCTGCTATTGTTGCCGATTAGCGAGGCGAATGGGAATGAGGTGAGATGAGTTTTGGTCAGGAGGTTGAGGGGAGAGTTTTCGTGGTGATGGGGGTGTGTTGTCAACAACGGAAACAAGCCCTATTTGGCTTGGGTTTTCAATGTCAACGATGTAATTTGGGGTGTTTTTGTAAGATTTCAAACATGTAGGGACTTATGTGTAATTTTTAGGGGTATTTTTGCTAGATTTCAAACCTTTGAACATGCTGACATCACGGGTTTGATCCATTGTTCAAACCGATTCACTAGATCATTCCGGGACCTGACCACTGTGCTAGGTTTCATCCCGAATTAGGTTTTAAACACTGCCCATTATACCAAATTACTCCTTTTTAACTAAAAATTCATTGGGGTGTGTTTGTTTCAGTATTTTTGCACTATCTTATCCCTATCCTACCCAAAATACACATTTGTTTATATATTATGAAAATTCTATTCTATTTTATTCAATTTTTTAAACCCCCTAAGTTTTTTAATTTAACTAAATAGCCCCCAAAAAAATTTAGAAATTGATAAAATACCCCTACCCACCCACATTTGCTAGATTCTGGCCACCACTACCGGAAAGTGGTCAAAATTTGATATAATGGCGCACTATTAGTTAGATCTGGCTAGTATTGCGTCAATCTAGCTTTTCCAACTAGATCTACGAGTAAAGATCTGGCCGTTGTTGGCCAGATCTTTGACCGTAACTGGTTGTTGACCATCAACGATGTTCATATCTTTGGTTATTATTGACAACCAAACGCAGCCAGATCTGGTCGGAAAGGCCATATTGACGCATAACAGGCCAGATCTAGCCGGTCGTGTGCCGATACAACGACTCCGACGGGCTGCCAGTATTTAATGGGTGAGTGAAGATGTTTTTGTTAATTTTAATATTTTGTTATAGGGATGTTTAGTAAATTAACAAACCTAAAAATGTGTTTTATTAGTTTTCAAATCCTACCTTGTAATAACCATCTCACTCTTACTTTTTCAAAAATCATATCCAAAATAATAAAAGAAACACATCCTTCAAACTTCAAACTATCTAATAGAAAACTGATAGAGTTTCTATCAATTGGGGTTTTAGTTAAAAAAAAAAATGATAATTTGGTCTAAAGGGAGTCGAAATTTTAGAATAAAACTATTTTCAAAAAAACTTTTGCAAATGGACCATCTTATTCAGACCCCCAAAAAAGGTTAATATAATTTATTTAACGTAAGATGTTTGGACAATAATATAGAATCTTAAATGCCTTCACCTAATACCTATAAACTTAGATTGAAGTCCCAAGCTCTCCATTTCATGTCTTGATTAACTAGAAAATAAAAAATAAAAAACCTGAGAAGTCAATTTCAAGGTTTTCAATTGCCAAAACCCATAAACCCGTTTTCCAATTTTCTTCAGTAAACAAGACAAAAGAGAAAAACACTTGAAAAAAAAAAAAAAAATTCTCCAAATTCCAAAGCTCATTATTTTTGTTCCTCCATCAGGTCACCGTCCTGTAAAAATATCCAAAGTGCACACCCCTTCTCTCTCTTTTTAGAGTTTTAAGTGTAGAAAAGCCTTAAGTACCGCCATAACCTTAAAACTTGGAACATTCATCTCTCTCTCTTACTCTTTTTCGCAGTGGCACTGCCATGAACAAGAAAAGAAAGCACACGTAAACTTGGCCTAATTAAAAATGGGAGGTGGAGAGAATAGCTACCATATCTACAACTACAGTTTCAGTGCATGGGCGCCAATAGGAGCGCCATTGAACAACGTGCAGAGAGAGGATCACTGGAGACACTTCGACAACTCCGTTAATGCGGTGTCGTTTGGTTTTGTAGCTACTGCTATTCTCATCTCTATGTTCTTGGTCATGGCCATTTTTGAAAGATTCCTTCGACCCACTTCACCTACTGGTAACCACACGCATGGTGATCTTGAATCCCAGTTGCCCTTCAATCCCAAGCTTGGCTACCCATCACCCAAAGTAAATCTACTCATTTCTCCCTTCGCTTTCAATTTTAAGTTTTGCATGTTGAGTTCTTCAGCTTATAAATGTCCTTGTTTCTTCCTTAATAATACTAAAGGTGTTTCTTTTTGTTGGGTTATTTTACGGTAATGAATGCATTTTAGTGTTGAATTGATTGGCTTCAGGATTTTTCAGAGTGGTGTTGGTTCCCACTGTAACAAAGGCTCCTGTTCATCTATCAAGTAAAGTCTTTTATGATTGGATTCTCATTGATTTTCCTCCATTTTGGTTGTCATCTGGAAATTTTCTTTTGTCATAGTTCAAAGATTTTCCTTGTTGTTTTGAGTATTTTGAGCTTTCATTGTTTCATTTCTTCACAAAATTGCTATTTACAACAGAGACTTTGTCAATGCAGACAGGTAAAAAAGATAAGTCCTGTGGCAGTACACATCTTATCCGTTGTATTTTCTTCTCTTTCTTTTTCCCATGACCAAATAACTGAATTTCCAGAATAACTTAGTAGAATTTTCGTTCTTAAGTTGTTTTCATCATTCCAGAGCAGTGTAATTTGTAGTTATAATTAATTATTAGGCATTGCCATATCTGTGAAGTTGTCTGTTGAATGTTTGGTGCCAAACCAATGAGTCTTAGGACTAGTTGTACTTCTTGTTGTTTAGACCCACCACTTTACATGGTGGCTATCTGTCTCATCACCAACGACTATGTTGCAATCGCATGCCCAGTGCCAGGGGTCCGAGACAGGTTCTCTTTGTGGGGAAGTCCTTGTCTTCTTATTTTCTTAATCAGTTATGCTTCTAACCAGATTCATTTTAAGCATACAAATCCATGGAGTATAGATATTTTTGTAATGTGATTTATGTGGTTATGCTACATTATGATGAAAGATAAACTAGTTGATTATAGGCTAATTTGTTTTGGAGGATCCTATGAGGGTCCTGCATAATTCAACACATCTGTTGTCTACCATGTGCCTTAACTTTTGAGAAACAAGAAACCCCACAGCCCCCACCTACTAATCCAACATTACTGTTAAATACGAGGGCTAACTTTACTGTGGGGTATTAAGCCAATAAGGAAACCTTCTCGACTTTTATGAGTTCATCAAATGCTTATTTAGAACTGAAAGCTTGAGGGAAATTTTTCAGTTCAGATGTTATTAAATCATATCATCAAACTGATTGTCAGCTTTTAAGGATGCCACTGTGAGCCGTCTGCTGATAGGTCTAAATCACTTGACGCACTGCACTTGCTGTGCGAATTTGTGACCCATGTCTAATGGACTCTCAACTCGGACCGGATGTTCCCTAAAAGCGTTGGTGGATTACCAGTTCAGGAACACTGCATTTTTTCAGTTTGGTGTTTGAAGTTTTTCATTAGTTTCATCTGTGGACCAATTCTCTTCAAAGAGATTGGCTCCACTATGTCCATAAACAAAGCAAAATCGGTTGATGTGATATGCAGAAACTTATTGGTCCAGTGGCAATCTTAGGAATTTCAGCAAAAAGCATAGAAATTTAGGTGGAACCTGTGATATACTAACATGCCCCAGGCCAACAACTGAACTGAGAGTCTTGAGTTTGAGTAGGTTAATGTATAGTTTTTTACTGCTGTCCAACCTTGTGTGTAGGTTTCAATTAACTTAGATCAACATTCCTGTTCTTATGCAAGTCGTAAATTATGCTTAGTTTAGTTGTATTTCTATACTGCGTTGTCCCCATAAGTATTGTTTGATTCTCTGGGCTGCTTATATTCTGTCCACTATAAAAATAGAATTTATATACCTTGTGAGGGATAATGTTGTTACCTTGTCTACCAAGTCAAACATTAAAAGAAACAATAAAAATAAGGCAGTATGGAAACACTACCATGTGCTTCAATTTACCTTCATTTTTTCCTTGTTTATTTGTTGTTATTTCCTTGTGTTGTTTATTTTATGTGATCACATGGTAAGCTTATCTTCTCAGAGGATCCTAGGACATTTAATTATGCTTAGTTCTGCATCATAAAGACAAAATTTATCCATTTAATCTTTGCCTTATAGTTGGTGAACCTCCAATTCAGTGCCTTAATATGTCAGCTTCCTATGAGGAACAGTTTTAAATAATTTAGTACCAAACTCGTTCTAGCCATATTTGATCTATATGACAGAGTTTTTTGTTTTAAATGGCCTTAACCTCACAAAACAAGCAAATTTGGCTATTGTACCTCTTAAAATTATTCTGCATTTGAGCTGCAGGAGGAGCTCAAAATGGATTTGTTCTGTGCTCCAAACTTTTCCAACTATCAGTCATCTGTGGTGACCAAAAAATGACTGGCCACTTGCATGTTCTTGATATTACAGTTTGTTTGATTTAAAGAAAAGCTATAGAGATTCTGCCTCGGCTAGTGCCTCGGCATTTAGTTTTCTAAATTGCAAATCACCTCATTTCACCTAAACTGCATTCCTCATATAGCTATAAACATAGATGCAGAATATCAGTTACAAGTGCTTGTCATATCCTGTTTTTGATTTTAAAAGTTTCAGATACATCTTTGGTTTTATCAATATGATAATTTTCGTAAAACTGATGATAGTAGCTTTTGGTTTTATGATTGTCATTTCTGATGCAGGTTTGCAAAACCACATTCTGCCATTCTGATTTTAAGCTTGTCTAAATGTTGTGTTTGCAGATGACTGTATATGCCAATGGTGTTTCTGTGTTGATGCCTGGAGATGACATCCCTACTTTCATTGCGCACCCCGCTCCAGTCCCTTGCCCTCCAGAACGCATTTCTTGGCCACACCATCAACATCACCCTTTGTCCAATTCCACCATTAACTCAAATTCAAACTCAAGCTCTATACAAGAAGACTAATACCCGAGAAACGGCTGCATGCTACATTTCAAGTCATATTCCTGATGACTAAAGGAAAACTATTTGTGAAGACAAGCAAGGATGTTGGATATGCACTAGGTGTTGCCTTTTTTCAACTTTTTCACCCTTGTGCTATTTATGTTTTGTACATAGCATTAGTTATTGATGGGTGGCATGTCTGAAACAGAACCAGGCTTCCACCTAGAGTCAGCTATATGTTCAAAAATTTTCCAGTATGCGGTTGCATAATTATGGTCTTCTGGAGCCATCAAATGGATCACTCTACATGTAAAAAAAATGAAATTGTGGAGTATAATTCTGATTGAGTTCACATCTTCTCAGTTGCTTGGTGAAAGAAAATTGATGCAGAAGAATTGAACTCAAAACTCTCATTATGAAGCTTAATTGGGGTGCTTAACTTAACAGGATAACTTTTGAGGAGCATTATGTTTATTCACTTGGGAAAATATCTGCCAACATCTAAGTAATAATGGATGATAACCCACTAAAGGCATGGCTACTCCTCTAATTAAGACAATTTGTTTAGATATGTTAGAAGAAACAGTAAATAAATGCAGGCTAGCAATGATTCAATATGAATATAAATGTAAAGATAAATTAAATTGAAAAGGCTTAAACATGTGATTTGACGATGATAATCAACAAATCAAGTTTCAGTTTTCAGGCACCCCTTTTTCCATAACTTGGGCCTACGCAGCTAAAATGGCTTTGGCAGAAGCAAGATCAAGCTGATGGAATGGAACAACTTTTAACAAACATGCCGAACATGACAATACAATAAACATTGCTCCTTGTTTGTTCAATAGTCACTAAACTATTTTACTTCATTCAATTCATATTCACTCAGTAGTGACTTGGGACAGTCAGTCAACAAGTTAGTTGTTGGCTAAAATATAAATCAAAATTAATCATTTTATTTTATCTATTCATAAATAGTCATTCATGAATTTTGGTCCATAAAAACATTGATAATTAATGTATATTTATAAAATAATATGATACGTTCTTGTTTATGTGAATTGAAATGAATATTCATTTATGAAAAAATCAATACTTTAATAACCAACCCAGGGTGAAACCTAGCAAAGTGGTCAGGTCCTAGGTTGACCAGCGAGTCAAACTGCTATTCAAAGGTTTGAAATTTAACAAAAATACTCTTAAAAATTACATTTAAGTCCCTACAAGTTTGATATCTTGCAACACCCCAAATACCATCGTCGGTGTCGACAACCCAAGCCAAATAGGGCACATTTCTGACGACGACAATACTCTCCATCACCACGAAAACACTCCCTTCAGTCTCCTGACCAAAACCCATCTCACCCCTCTCCTGTTCAATCTACCAATCGTCGGCAACAGGCCACTGTTTTGGCCGATTGATTTTTGCCTTTTCCAATCTATTCACTCACTGTAAATCACTCCCTTCACCACCTTTGGACTCATCAGAACTCCCTTCCAAAAGCCCCAACATAATTGCCGTCATATGCTCGCCGATTGCCGTCTATAATTCTAGGGTTTAAGGTGAATAGTTAAAAATGATAACTTGCTCAACGAAGGCCTTGGGTCTCGATTTAGCCAGCCGAGCCGGGTATCAAAACATTAGAAAAAACTATATAAAGCCTCATTTGATTTGTTGAATATCTTCAAATTGTTAGAAATTAAGTTTACAAAATAAAATTATTTTTATAAAATAATAATTATAAATGAATTACTTGGCCCAATAGTGCCTCACGTCAGGTCCATTTGTTATCTGAATAATGTTATATTTACATCATTCTCTAACACCATAGTCATTATATCATGATGTGATATATGTCATAACCACATAAATTTTTAATTATTTTTAATTTTTAATATTATAATAAAATTTATGTAGTTAGGTTATATGAGACATCATAGTCAGTGGCGGACCCAGGATTTTTGCCCGGGGGGGCCCCCTCGCCCCGCCACTGTTTGCCAATCAACTAGTGAAAACATAAGAAAATAATATCTAATTCACAAGGAAACACAAGAAAATTATTACGTGGAAAAACCTCTTTAATGTAAAGAGATAAAAAAACCATGAGAATCTAATGATCCACTTAAATCCAATATAATCAAAAGAGTTTACTGATGCGTATTTTTAACAAACATGCAAATGTAATAAGTGCACTAGTCGCAAAAAGTAGTAAAATGATTAATAGAAATCGTTCCCATGAGGATAGTGTTACTAGTGCCGATTTCTCTAGTTTAAGTCTTAATTGAAGCAACAATAAATTGGATTGATGAAAAATTAACGAACTATACAATTTAAGAAAATTAAATGAATGATATGAAATTAAAGCAAACACAACAACTTCTAATTAAACAAATGCTAAAAAATGCTAGGGTGTTGATTTCACCTAGATACACTAACCCGAATCATAGAATTTATTACCCAAGTTCTAATTCCTTGATTGAAAATGGAATTCCCAGTTGTAAAACATACATTCTCATCTTTTTAAGCTTCCGCACCCAACAAATGAAATTAATAGTTCAAAGTCTTTTAAGCTTTATGAAATTCTATCTAGATTTCATAAATTGCTAAACCTATCTCTAGCGTTTGCTTAATCTACGGTATTTATCCCAAGAGCACAATCACAAATCACTTCTCAGTCTATTTTGAATAACACACTTTGAATGATCAACATCCAAAGTCATTAAGCGAAGAGATAAACACTCAATCATAAAATTAAACTAAAAGTAAATCAATTCATATAAATTTGAATCATTGTATAAATGTTACATCAAACCCTAGCTAAACAACTCAGTTCATACTGAAACAAAACAAAATAACAAAAACAAACTGAATCAAGATTCATCATTGAAAAACAGCAAAAGATGGAGAAATCTTCTCTATTTGAAGCCTAAATCTTCAATAATCTTCTCCTTCCAAGAACTGCCTTCCAAATGAAGAACCAAGCCCCCTTTTCTTTCATTTTCGTGCTAATTATACCTCTTTCACTTAAGGACAAAGCCCTAGCAAGCCAAACGTGTCGTTTTATTTTTCACATCTGACGCAGTTTCGCCGCAGTGAAGCTTTTTCTTGCCACGGCGAGAATTGTTCGGGCCAAATTTGAGCATGAAGAGTCTGAATATGGAAAGTGTTAAACAATGATTGTAGCCCTTTAAATTATCTTTCTACTCGTTCAAGAATCAGCACAATCTGAGGTCTACAACTCAAGTTATGATAGAAATACTGAAGCACATCTAAAGACGTTTTTCTTTAGTTTCCAATGTACTGTTAACGACTTCAAGCCAAGTTTTCACCCTTGTCCAGTCAGAATTAGAAAAACCCAAAACATAAAAGTTGTAGCTCTGCTTCTTGCTTTCCAAAGTTCAAAATCAGTCATTCTGAGTTTCCAAGCTCAAGTTACGTAATTTACGTTCAAAACGTAATTTATGCTCAAAATCATTGTTTAGGCCTGTAAAGACAAATTAATAAATGGTAAATTATGACCCAAATTGTATGAGAAGTATCCTAAATCTTATCGAAATTCAATGCAAATCATAGGAAAAAATAAGTTATCATTTACAACAACCACAAATCCACAAAAATATTCTACACAAATTGAGCTTAATCACAATTCTAACAAAGTAAAGTACACGAAAGTTTATAAAAATATGGATTACAATCATTCCAAATCTAGATCCGCATGTAAAAGGAAAGTTGGGAATTGGGGAAGAAAACTTAATATAAAAAACAAAACCTGACTTTTAATTTTTTACTGTTTACTTTTTTTTTTTTTTTTTTACACCTTTCAAAATAACTTTTCAAATTTTTTCTTAAAGTTGAGGGCAGGCCTGGGCCTACCCTCAAAGAGCCTGGGTCCATCCCTGATTATAGTGTAATAAAAATGATATAAAAGAGTAAGTATAAACATTACTTTTAATGTCTCACCACAATCAAACCCGACACCCCATATGGTGAAAAATTGAAAAGAGTCTTATCAACACCATGACTTCACCTCAAATTTTGAACTTTGAATTTTGGAACCTTCTTGATTCTTCACTTGATCGCATCTGAACAAGCTTACAAATTTATCCTTTGTTTATATATAAATGAAAAGGAAACAGTCCAAAATTAACCAATAACGGCTAATTACTCAAAAATTAGGACCACTCGATACCCAATCAACGTCTTCAACATCTGTTTCCCTCCATCACACTCCAAATTTCAATTCATCATCCAATATCAAATTTTAATTTTATTCAGAAAAAAGTGTTTTCAGAAGTACCAAAAAAAACATTTTCATATCAAAACGTAAGGCAGCCAGCTATAAACAAAAAGTCACGAGACATAAAAGACTGGCAATAAAAATCATCACCTCTTTTCTGTTACCCATTAAATTTTTGGTGAATTTGACATGAAAGTAAACTTTTTTCTATTCAGCTTAACAAAAAAGCTGAATCCCCAAAGCCTCTGCAAATTATGCCAATTCCAGTACACACCAGTGGACCCTTTGTTTAATTTGATTTGATTTCATTCTTTCAAATTATAAACGCAATCTTTCACCTCGATTTTGCAGAGAAGATTGCTTATGTCATAACGTGTCCAAGTAGCTAAAAAATTGTCCTCTGACTTCATAAATTCACATAAAATACAAAACCTAACCCAACAAGTAAAAAAAAAAAAACAAAAAAAAAACTGAAGTAGGTAGAATTTATTAAATTCATCATATCTTTACAGAAAAATGAAGCATTCTAGGGAGACAAGTGGGTTTTCAAGTGACTCATTCGTACTTGAATTATTATTATTATTATTATTACTCGGCCACCTGTTCTCCATTTTACTAGGGCTTTCAGTTTTTCTACTATTATTATTGCTACCATTTTGACCCGATTCATTCTTGGACCGACCCGGAGACTGGTTTGTTCTTCTTGCAGATGGGCTCCGACCCATTGCTGCAGATCTAGTTGAAGCCGGTGATCTGGACCTCCTTCCGGAGCTTTCACCCGGGTCTCTCCTTCCTCTTCCTAGTGATTGATTCAGAACCCGACCCGGTTCTTCTCTGCTACTCTGGACCAGCCTCACTGACCCGGGCGGGTTTCTTTTACCCGGTGATTGTTCGAATCTTCGGGTGGGTGAATGAGCCACAACTCGGTCTTTCCTGACCCCGAAATCTCGGTTCCTTTGCGGTGGCAACTTAGCTGGAGATCTACTGTTCCTCATTCTGTGTTGTTGCATCACTTCTTGGTCTTCTTCATTTTCTCTTCTATCAGTGATATTCGTTGT